CTCTCCGGCTTTAATCTCAGCTTGTGCATCATCAGCCTGCTGGCAATAGCAATCGGCGTATTTTATCAAAAAAAACTCTGCCACCAATCGCAGTTATTAACCGGCACAATGATGCAATACGTAGCCGCAGCAATTGCGACTGCTTTATTCGCTTTCCTGTTTGGCGAAAGCTGGCAGATTAACTGGACACCCGGATTCGCACTGGCACTTAGCTGGCAAGTCTTTGGCTTATCGATAGGTGCCGTCGTACTACTCATGGCCATTATCAAAGCCGGTGAGGCGGGCAAAGTTTCCAGCATGTTTTATCTGGTGCCACCGCTGGTAGTCACCGAAGCACATTTTCTTTTTGGTGAAACCCTCGGATTGGTTTCCATATTGGGTATGAGGGTGAGTATGTGCGGGCGGTGTGGTGGTCTGGGTCAATCGGCGTATATCGACTAAGAGAAATTCCTGCTATAGTTAAAAATGGATACGGTAAATAAGGAAACGCGTCGTATGTCTCTCGACCTTGGTTCTCGTTTTCCTTGCTCGCGAATTATTGTTGAGGCCTCTCACCGCCGCTTGGCGGGAGAAGCTTTACAAATGGATCACGCGAGTGGTAAAGCCGTTTACGTACGCAAACCGCCGAAAGGTGCCACCAGGCTTTAAAAAATTAGCGGCAACATCAAGTAGCCTTTCACCTCTGTCAGTGGTTGATCATTCAAATACGACCCAAAAGCTGATCACACCCGAACAGCCAAAAGCAAACCGTGGTCATGTACTCATCCGACGTTGGTGCGGCCGCTTATGCTTTTTTGTAAAAAAAGCTGCCGCGGCATGTTTCCGCAAGAACAAGCATTCCATTTCAGGAATACGACATCGAAAAGAACAAGGAAAGCCGCTAATCCTACAAGAGACTCCAATGTCGTAGCGTACGTCATCCTCAATTGCGCAAAACAGCGCCATGAACGGCTTTAACGCTAAAACACTTCGACAGCCCTTACCGAGAAAATACCACGACAAATCCTGATCATTGAAGCCACGTTAGACATCGCGTAAGATTGCACTCACAAATCGGGGTGTAGCTCAGCCTGGTAGAGCGCTGCCTTCGGGAGGCAGAGGTCGTAGGTTCGAATCCTGCCTCCCCGACCAAGCAAACAAATACACCCCGGGCCGTCAGTCTTAAATCAACAGTTTAGTGAACTTTGATGACGTTAAACTTACCACCACCAATTTCCAGTTCCTTGTAAGAACCAAAAACTTCACCGACATCATTAAATTCGACACTAGTGGCACCCTGATAATCAACATCGCCACCAGCCGCAATGATTTT